AAAAGACTGCCGCTCCTTTTGGAGTACCTATCTGGACTCTGACCATGCCTTGGTCTGCGCCAATCTTACCTTACTTTTCAGTGGACAACGAAGTGAACGCCATCAACGGATTGATGTTAGCAAGCTGGTTGCAACTTCTGTTGCAAGTAAGTATCGAACCGAGCTAGCCTCTAGGCTAGCTACCACTCCACCGAAAAGTATAGATGAGCATTGGTTGCAATTGCATGACGCCATGAAAATGGCGGGAACAGTCAGTTGTGGGTTTGCGAAACGTCCCGCCTTTAAGCACTGGGTTTCTTCTGGTTCCTTACAACTCATTGAAGCCCGTCGGTCTACTCCGGGTGACCGTGAGTTTGACCATAAACGAAGGATGTTACGTAAGGAGATTGGGCAAAGCTTGCGTAAGGACCGAGAAGCCTGGTGGTCGATGCGTGCTAATGAGCTGGAAGCAGCAGCTGCATCTGGTAACTACCGGAAGCTCTTCCAGCTCATCCGAGCCACTGGCAGCAAGAAGTCTGGTGTGAGTGAAACAATCTGCGAGGATGATGGGATGCCAATCACTAACATCCATCGACGTCTTGGACGATGGGCAGAATTTTTCGAAGGGCAGTTCAACTGGCCTGCTGCTCCGGCAACATCGGTCAGACTGTCCTGCCCTCCATGGCCGGTGACGACTGATCCACCAAATGAGGAGGAAGTCCGCAAGGAACTCCAACTCTTGAAGCGTTACAAATCACCTGGCCCAGATGACTTACCTCCGGCTCTTTTTAAAGATGGTGGTGACTTTTTGACTAAGGAATTGACGACGTTGTTTACAAAGGTTTGGGAACTAGAGAGTGTACCAACGTCATGGAATGAGTCGATAGTTGTCCCTATCTTTAAAAAGGGTTCACGTCGTTCTTGTAACAACTATCGGGGGATAAGTTTACTTCCGATTGCGTCCAAGCTATTGGCTTCCGTCATTCTTCGTAGGTTGTTCAAAACCCGAGAAAGATTGACTCGCGAGGAGCAGGCTGGGTTTCGTTCTGGTCGAGGATGTATTGATCATATCTTCACCCTCCGCCAAATGTTAGAACACCGCCATACTTTTCAAAGGCCAACAATCGTAGTGTTTCTTGACATCAGGGCTGCCTTCGATTCGTTGGACAGGACTGTTCTCTGGGATTGTCTATTGAAGAAGGGTGTGCCTGAGAAGTTTATTAACATCCTGAAAGCCCTATATAAAAACACCTCAGGCAGAGTGAGGGCATACAACCACCTCTCTCCATTGTTCCATTCGAGCAGTGGGGTTAGGCAGGGTTGCCCAATCTCACCATTCCTCTTCAACTTTGCCATCGATGACATTCTGGAAACAGCTCTGATGAATGTAAGTAATGGTGGTGTGGATCTGTTGCCTGGAGAAAGACTTCTCGACCTTGAGTATGCGGACGATATTGTCTTACTGTGCGATAATGCCCAAGGCATGCAATCCGCACTTAATCAGTTGGCAATCAGTGTCCGTAGGTATGGTATGTGCTTTGCACCTTCGAAGTGCAAAGTACTTCTACAAGACTGGCAGGATTCTAATCCTGTACTCACCCTGGACGGTGAGCAGATAGACGTAGTTGAGAAGTTCGTGTATCTGGGTAGCTGCATAAGTGCTGGTGGGGGTGTGAGTGATGAGATCAATGCACGAATAGTGAAAGCCAGAGCGGCTTATGCCAATCTGGGCCACCTTTGGCGCCTTCGTGATGTTAGTCTGGCTGTAAAAGGTCGGATCTACAACGCGTCGGTGAGAGCAGTTTTGCTCTATGCTTGTGAAACCTGGCCTCTCCGAGTTGAGGACGTTAGACGACTCTCTGTGTTCGATCATCGCTGTCTCCGAAGGATTGCTGACATTCAGTGGCAACACCATGTCAGTAATGCAGAGGTTCGGCATCGTGTGTTCGGGCACAGAGATGATAACTCAATTGGTGTCACCATCTTGAAACACCGACTTCGGTGGCTTGGACATGTTCTCCGAATGTCGTCCCAGAGAATTCCACGTCGTGCATTATTTGCCGACTCTGGGACTGGTTGGAAGAGGCGGAGAGGTGGTCAGTGCATGACATGGTGTCGTGGCATGAAAGAAAGCTGCAAAGGACTGGCTTGTGTTGGTCCTTCACGACTCCCTGGTTGGGGTCCGAGAGATGGTGCTACACAGTGGCTAGAGACGTTATCAGATATGGCTCAGAATAGAAGCCAGTGGCGATCCTGCTGTAACCTTCTTTTACTTTCTTTCTAAAAAGTGGTTGTGTCTCCTTTACCTGAAAGATTTCTTCTGATTGTACCTTTTCGTTCCGTCGTTACTACCACACTACCTTACTCCAATCTCTTCGTCATTGTTCTCTTTTTCTTTTGCGTTCCCTAGTTTTTTTTTTCTTTCTATTTCTCTTCGAATTTTCATTGTTTTGTGTGGCGCATATATATTGGCGCTCTCTTGTACCAATATTTATGTGTTCAAATAATAATAATAATAATTCTGTTTGGTTTAAACTACCTATCTGAGCATTAAAGTCACCTGCTACGAGTACTATGTCTGAGCGTTCAGCTTTCTGAAGAAGTTCGGAAGCTTTCTGTAAAATTCATCTTTCACTTCATCTGAGCTGCAGTCAGTGGGAGCGTAGGCAGAAACGACGAAAAGGCAACGACGTGTGTCCCTATCCTTCCGAGTTCTTACGGAGCCGTTTAGCCGAACAGCACATAGACGACTGTTGACGGGGATCCACTCTAGCAGTGCTTGTTCCGCCCTCATGTTTAGTGCTATGCCTACACCTGCCAGTCCACGAGAACTGGCCATCGGGTCACCAGATACACGAAGGGTGTATCTCGTTGGCTCTCCGTTTTGCCGAGGTGAGGTCAAGTGAATGACCACACTGGAATCCTGTATGCGTGTTTCGGAGACACAGCATACATCAATGGAAAGAGACTCTAGGGTTTTAGCCAAGGAAGCCTGCTGACCGATTTGACATAGGGTGCGTACGTTGAAGGCTCCAATGTGTAGTTTGGAGCGAGGTTTCAGTAGACCTGGGACAGGGTTTTGAGCACTAGAATCGTTGGCTATGGTGACACTTGAGGAGGAAGCCGAAGGAGGAAGTTTAGGGTTGAAAGTCGATGTAGGAGGAATAATAGGAATTGAAGAGGAAGGTTGATTATGAATACAGTGGTCTCGAGTGCTGTTAGAGGTATGAGGGCGGTTATCACTTCCCGGTTGCCCACACCGTGGAAGGGTTCTTCTGGAGGTACCTGAAAAGGAAATTGGATTAGAGGCGGTCTCAGTGACCTGAGAGCGTGACCGCAGTGCCCAAGGGACAACTGCTTGAGGCCGGTCGCGCACGGCCTTTTCGTGAGAGGTTTGTGACGTGTTAGATCCGTTCTTCAAAGGGCCTTACCGCCGGAGACGGAAATCCGTGAGGTAAGGTGAGGTGTGCATTTTTAGGGTCGACCTTTTCTAACCCCACCCCTCCTTGTGGGAAGGCAGCATCGCTGTCATGCTGGTTGTCCGAGGGAAACACCTTACTGTTGTCACACCTCTGTACAGTCAGCAGTACGACTTCGCCTTTGGACCTTGGGTTTGTTGCTTTTAGTCTTACCGCTCTTCAACCGACCTGTCTGACATGGTAGGACCTTGAGGAACGGTTGTTCCAGCCAGTATAGCTCGGTTGCTTCATCACGATAGGCAAGCCCGACCACCACGTCAAGGTAGCAACAACGGTCGGGCATTATACACGACCCTGGAAGAAAATGGATATCCTGAGAAATTTATAAATAAAAACATGGTCAATAAAAGGGAGAATAGAGAATGCCTAACTGAGAATAAAAAGCCTCTGTATATACGCTCACAATTCATAGGTGATGCGCCTAGTGAAATGTTAAGACGGAATTTAAGCAGATTAATCCAAAGAACTTTTAATGCAGGTAAACTACAATTAATAATTTCCACATGTCCGATAATCACCCCAAGGTTGAGAGATAAATCACCTAGACTAGCCACCTCTTTCTTTATCAATCAATTCAACTTCTCCTGTGGAGCAAATTATATTGGCATATGTTCTAGGAATTTGTATATTCAGGCTCGTGAGCACTTCTCGCGTGGTTGAGCAAAGGTGTAGTCAAAACAGTTAACAGCTCCATTTAAGCCCATTTAATGCAGACGGGACACACAACCAACGTGGACCAATCTTCCGCAATAATATATTGTGTTAGCAACACTCTACATAAATCCGTCAGACTGAGAATCCTACAGATGGTCGAAACAATTACTATTCGGATCAAAAAGCCAGAGCTTTGCATCCAAAAGAAATATGTTCAGCCGCTCCTTTTACCCTACCCAACTAGTTAGTAATGAACGTTATAATATGGTGATGTAATTTGATTAGTGTTTATTTTCATGTCCCAAACTTATTATTATTATCTTTATCATTGTTTTATTATACTTGACAACCTTTTTAAGAAATTTATTCAGCATCCACCCTTATCTACTATATCTGACCTAATTCATTTTATTCTACATATTACTTTGCTTGAGTTGAAGCTATCACGAGTTCACTTAATCCGTGAACGAGAAACAAGACTCGGTGACCAAAAACCAGTAGCTAGCTATTGATGCGTCTCAACCCCGCTAACTAGAGGGATAAGTTCAAGCTTAGAATGGGGAAGTATATTCTGCAAGCAGCCAGAAACGAGCGATAACAGCAAACACAACTCAGAACGCATATATATACAGTACAAAACCGTCCTTGGGGAGAGTTACCAAATAACATACTGAAAGATGCAACGAACCAATAGCGTTTAAGATATTTCCCAGTAGGAAATACGACATAAAGGTGACAAGAGCATGTATAAAATAACATTGCTAGAAAAATGTATTTGTTAAATTATCATTTTATTTCTAAAGAAAAATTGTACAGAGATATTTCATCAATGATTTATTTCATAAGAATAAAGAGAAAAATTAAGCAATCCAATGGTTTATTCCTCTTTCAAGTTGGTTTATTACTCTGTGTACTTGTGTTTCTTTTATGTTTACGATGTCGATTGAGAAATTTCATTCGATTTTTTGAACATTTACGATTACGTATTGGATCCCATTGTTTGAATTTATGAATAGAATCTTTAGTGGAAGTTGTAGATTGTTGTTGGTGTTGTTGAGACTTATGACATTTCACTTCTTCATGTAATCCAGACTAAATAAAAATAGAAACATTTATAAAATGTTAAAATATATAAATGTATGCAAACTTTTTATAACAAATAGTATATACACATTTTGTATACATCTAATAACGCTCATATTACATATAACTATGTGCCAATTCTTAAAACAACTTTCAACCAATATCAAAGTCAGAATCTTCAACACCAACGTCAAGGCAGTTTTACTGTATGGAGCTGAAACTTGGAGAACTACAACAACCACAATCAAGAAAGTATAAGTATTTATAAATAGCTGTCTTCGCAAAGTACTCAACATCCATTGGCCAGATACCATCAGTAACAGCCTTTTGTGGGAGAGAACAAATCAGCTTCCAGCTGAAGAAATTAGGAAAAGACGATGGAAATGGATAGGACATACATTGCGCAAATCATCAAACTGCATCACGAGTCAAGCCGTAACTTGGAATCCTGAAGGGAAGCGGAAAAGAGGAAGGCCAAAGGACAGATTACGTCGGGAAATAGAAGCAGATATGAAAAGGATGAATAGGAATTGGAAGGAGCTGGAAAGGATTGCCCTGGACAGGGTTGGATGGAGAATACTGGTGAGCGGCCTATGCTCCTTCATGAGGAGTAACAGGCGTAAGTAAGTAAGTAAATATGTGACAATTAATCAAAGATACTTAGATTTAAGTTATACTTTCGTGTCAACAATACGGATATTATCTGGTTATGTGAACTAAAATGAAAAGAATAGGTTACAGATCAGAACATTCCATGAAAGACAATTTTTTCTAATCACAGGGCTTTATCCTTGCATGTTCGTGAACATGTACCAGCTTGGTTAGGAAAACGAGTTATCAAGTCAATTAATAGCACCATTCTTTCTCATTTGGTATATAGTGAACATCATATCAAAATAGAGGAAGCTTTCTCTGTTTTATATTTTCCAAATCAGGTACTTATCATACTACTTTGTTTTGATTTAAGTAGTTAAGACTTTTCTTTGTCATTTCTCAACTTATAGTTTTTGTGGCGATAACCATTTGACAAATAATCAAAGATATAACTTTATATACTTTCATCTCAACGATAAGGATACTGTCTGATTACGTCAACTTAAATGGAAAACAATAGGTTACAGATCAGAACATTCCATGAAAGACAATTTTTTTCTAATCACTAAGATGTGATTTATTCTTACAGACACTCCAACTTGATTTTTATCATTTGCTTTAAACTTTCTAAATAACAATTAAATATCATAGAATATTAATTAATGGTAATAGTATTTAAGTATCACAATATGGTATGTGTTATATTTTAATTTGAATAAAATGGAATTGTTTATCAATGTAGTCAGATCATTTCATTATTCGATAGTAATTTGTGGATTACATTGATAAGATTTCAACAACAGTTGGTGATCCTATGAAATGATTACAGAAAAATCTTAATTAATACTATATTAGAATATATCATTTGTGTAAAGTATATTTCACTGGTTGAAATCATGAGTCAATTGAAGCTAGACCACCATGGAAAACCTGGAAGCACTGGGCGACCGTTTCGTTCAAGTATGGGACTCCTTACAAGTGGGCGTCCACGATCCCGCCCCCGGCGAAATTCGAACGTAGGACCTATCAGTCTCACACGCGAGCGCTTAACCACTAGCCAACTGAGCCGGTATCCAACGGTGTTAATGTCCAACTTCAACCAATCCACTCATGATTTCAACCAGTGAAATTCCTAAAATCTCCACAAAACCCCTTCTGAGAAAGTATATTTGAAATAATTTCAATAATTGAAATTTCAAGTTAACATTGACTACATTACTATTAGATACACTGATCAGATTCAATTATCATTTATAATAAGAAATAACACTTGAAATTTGTACTGCAGAAAATGCACCTTTTGAATGTTATCATATCATAGAGTAGTGTGTAAGATTAAAGATAATGTTTATTATTGAATTGTTTGCATTGGCAAGCAAGTTATTTATCTTTCAAATTAACTCTAATCAATAACAAACAGTTTAGTTGAAAAAATAGTTCATTCAATTATAAATTTATACAGACTGTATTTTAATTGCGATCATGAACCGATTGGTGTTAGACTACAGTTGGAAGCCTGCAGCTAATCCGTGTCGAGTAGAGACAGGTATCTACCTCAGTACAATGGAAGATGGTCGCGCAATTTCGTCGATTGGTTTATATTAGATACTGACACCACTGGATGCCAACTCAGTGGTCTGGTAGGTTAAGCGTTCGCGCGCGAGACTGAAAACTCTGACTTCGAATCCCGCAGGCAGGATCGTGAATTGTTGCATGATCTCAATTAAAAACATAAAAATCTCCACAACCCCTAGACTGTATTTTCTTACTTTTTTTATCCTTAATTAACGGTACAATGAAGTGTTAAAAGTTGTAATTAAGCTATTGTGTCATAAACTATATCGATACAATGATTTATCTAAAAAATACCAGTAAAATTGATAAGAATATCAAAACATTTTTTTTCAAATCGCATATCAATCATATCAAGAGAATCACTTTTTTGCTTGAATTTCACTAGGTATATACCATTAGATTGATATAATATTATTATTGAGAGCTCGAGATTAATTGGCGAGACTCTAATTTAGGGACGACCTTTGAACGAACCTTAAATGACCAATCAGAAGACAGTTAGTATAAAGTGAAAATATATTATAAGAAAGTAATGAATTACAGTGGATATTCTTCTTTTACATGATTTAAAAACTTGTTAAGGTTTGGTAAAGGTTCAGAGGTGCTGAATTCATAATGCATGCGGTAAAGAAACTCGTCCATAGGGTTAGGGTGCTAACATGCGATCGGTTTACAACGGATTTTAGAGGTTATGGTAACGGTTACGGATTAGGGTTAGGGTTGTAGCCTCTCAATAAACACTTCTTCTCTAAAATCCGTTGTAAACCGATCGCATGTTAGCACCCTAACATTATTGACGAGTTTCCATAGCGTATGCATTATGAATTCAGAACTTCTGAGACTTTATCAAACCTTAACAAGTTTTTAAATCATGTAAAAGAAGAATATCCACTGTAATTCATTACTTTCTTATAATATAATTTCACTTTATACTGTCTTCTGATTGGCTAATAATTGAAATTGCTCAAACGCTTCTGATTGGCTCGTCCCTAAATTAGAGTCTCGCCGATTAATTTACAAAATACCATAACGAAGTACTGATTAGTAGACTATTTAGTATCTGGAAACTTTAATTTAGATAAATACTGTGATTAGAATAAATGTATTATTGGTTGTATCCCATTGAGTAGGAAAAATTTCATTTTTGATATTTCGTGTCTTAATGGAGGACACTTCCTCAGAGTGAATAAATTTATTTGGAACTATCAAGTCCAATCTTGGCAGTGACACTCATAAATAGTCGTGATAAAAATAAATAAATTTTTGGGAGAGAAAGTTCCAATGCATTAAAATAGTGATAAGAACTCATAAAGTGAACAAACATTAGATGATTATGTAATAAACTAACTGAAAATAGATTAATAGTAATAAAGAAAGATATAAATTGAAGAAAAAATGATAATGATGTAATCAAACTTCAGAAAGAGTTGCTAATTACCATTCCAATATTCTGAAACATTTCCCTCTCAAATTTTATTATTTGCCTGAAACAAAACAAATGATTAATATTCATTCATCAAATATGAGTGAGTTACACATATGCACATACATACAGCATTCACATGATTCATGATCTTACTGAATCATATGGATAAGCATTAAGTGTAGACATGATTTGATTATTAAGACATTATTCATTCTTTGATCATTTTGATTATGATCATTACCCTGAAGAAGTCCGGACAAATTTGTTGAACGTGTTGAAATATTCGGAAAAATATACCAATAATTATCATGCTAAGTCTAATAGTGTCCTAGGACTTTAAATGGACATTCCCTACTGGCCAATGTTTATTTCACTTGTTAAATATTGTACAAATGTTGTTTTTTATTTTATGGTACGATGTGGTCTGTTTGATTGGTATATAAACAGAGTATGTCTGAAATATAACGATTTGTATCTCAGAGGCTGAGACTTGCGTTCTCGATTAAACTGGCTGGACTAGACAGGGAAGAGGAACCAATCGAGACTCTACGCCGTTCGTACGTGTTTCACATGTCATTGATCCGATCGATAATTCACTGCGCATCTAATATGCAGTCCACAAGTCATAACAGGACGAAACATTGAAATTATTCTGAATAGAATTTACAAAAATAATAATTTTCATTTAATCCGTTCACAATTTCTATCAAATTATTCAATCATATATTGACAAATAACCGTATAAAATATGAGAAAAAGAAAATTGAACTAGGAAATTGAGTAGAAGTGGGAAAATGCAATAAACTTGTATAATACACTTCATACAGAATGATTACACAGTTCATAAATTATCAGTCAGTAAACGAATGAATTTTTATCCATCAAAGTTACCATAATTCACACCAGTAAAGTAGAAGAGAAAATAACACAAAATTCAATGAAAACTAAAACAGGAGATATTCAGTTCAAATAGAACAAATGAGATGAAAGAACGGAAAGTTAAGGATAACATTCAACGCGAAATTCAAAAGAGGAATAAATGAAGCTGGACTACTGTAACCAACTATGTATGACGTTACTCAACGTTCCTAACTAAAGACGATGATTATTGTGCTTGCTTTAGTTAGGAAATTTGCGTCTATCGACTTATGAGCCAGACCAATGACTAATAAAATGGTGAATTAACGCCATATCTTGCTTTCTCCTCTTAGATTTCCCCCAATCCAGTCCTAAACCAATCAGTATTACATGTTGTGGGTAAGCTGTATTTAAGAATAAGTAATACATATTTTAACCGCCACATTACATGAAGTTTTACTATCTCATTAATCAAACTGCAATCTCAATATGGTAGCTTTAGGGTGAACTTAAGTGATACTCATATAGTTATGAATACACTTTTTAGCAAAATGTAGCCATCGTGCAGATAAGCATATATACAAATATAATTTGAAATAGGTGAATTTATGGAGGCATTAAATTTTAAAATATTCATCATAAATTGATTTCATTTCGTGGGGCATCAAGAACTGGATAACCGGACTGGTTTAAGCTTAGAACACCTCATCAGTGTGTAACTACAATTACACATATAAGTAAACCCATAAAATTCACGACTATCAAAGTCCAATAGTACGTTTTCCCCTTTTTAATTAATATGAGATAAAGTGAAGATCTAGAATGATGCTATCACGGAATAATGATCTCAGTAATTATTACTTCTCTAGCTGATAAGAGCCTTTTGACAAACCAATTGATCAACCATAATCAGTGTAAAGCCTGATAGACAGCTAACTTATTCATACTATATTTGCATGAATTAATAGTAATTTAAAAATAGTAAAGAAATCGAAATAATCGTAATATCAATGATAAAGACAGAAAGTGAAAATTGGGAATATGGTTTGAAGAGACAGAATAAGAAAGCATACATAAAGGAATAATATAATTTAAGATCCATTTATCACAAACCTCATATTCATCTTTTACATTCAGTACGCCTTGTTCTTCTAGATTTATATTCTTCTTGACTTGTTCGGTTTTTGAAGTCCGATGCTTTTTCTTTGATTCCCAGACACGTTTCACAGATGTGTATAGACGCATAGTAGCTCTAGCATCTTCAACTGAATCGTGTTCACCACTTTGTACATTCACACCAAGAACTTTTTGTGTCAGTGCTTTGAGTGATGGTATACGACCATTGAATAAATCCCGAAATGGACGATAACGTGATGTATCACGAATAAAACGACGAGGGTGCGACAATCTTAAAACCTGTCAGTTACAGGAATAAAGAAAGCGAACGAAAAACGTACTTAACTGGAAAAAATTAAAAAATAAAACCATAACGCTATAAGTTATGAACCGAGAAAGTAATTAATTATAAAGTAGATAAAAATAATTACGTCCGCTATTTTGAAGTTGATTTATCACCACAAAAACTAGAAGTTGAGAAATTACAAAGAAAAGTCTTCACTACTTAAATCAAAACAAAGTAGTATAATAAGTAGCTGATTTGAAAAATATAAAGTAATCTCGAACTGTATAATCTTTCAATATTACTGAGCGTTTACAATTGAGAGATGTTTACGCAAGCTCCGTAAAGTAATTAACTAAAAAAAGAAGTTGATAGGAAAAAAAAACACTTTAAGCGTTTATCTTCAATCAGATAAAGACTTACATCCTGTCATATGAATCTCAGTTATTATGTGAGGTTGTAATTTTTACAACGACTCTAGAAATACTTAAAACTTTTAGTCATTATCAGTAATTCAAGTCTGGATTCTATAATTATTGTAGAAAGAAACTTACAAAGACTATTTAATATAATGGATAGTCTAAAGTATTTCTCTCTTCCAGACGTATACTACGATAATATGAATAATCACGTTATATCACATCCAGGATTCATAACCCAGAGTATAGACTAAATAATACTTTATTTAGTGCAATTGCATGCAGACACTCTCAGTGAGTTCACGGTGAAAATTAATGGGAGGAAAACAACCCACATATTTAATAGTAAGTACTCTGTGTCTATTTGTCCACGCTCAATGATTAATCACACTTTAGTTTCACTACCACATATCACTTTTATATTATCCCTCAAAGGGTCGACGACTGTTAAACCTCATGGACATTTCACTGCACAAAACAATTAACAGACTGGGCAATGTAAAGGATTCAGTATATCAAGTTGAACCACATTAAAAACAATGGGATAGATTAGTAGTAGTAGGAAACGGAGAGGTAGTCTTCCCATTAAGGTAAAGTAAAACTTATAATTGAGGGAATAGTTAATTCTTCTAAAAAATATTGGAGATACTTCTAGCGTACAGATAGATATACCAGTCAACAATCGAAACCAAAATAATCTTGACTTCAAGGGGCGAAGTAAATTTATCTAACATATCGAGTGATTAGAAAAATTGGCTTTCATTGGATTTCTGATCTGAAACTTATTCTATTTATTTTAGTTCACATAACACTTAGTATACAATGAGAATTCATAATCAATTCGATGGTTAGATATGGAAAAAGATAACTATTTGACGGGTTCTGTACTTATTGATCCATGCATCAATCCAGTACTGAAACCAAGTATATTGTAAACAATCTAGAAATCAATACATTTCTTATCAAATCAGTTGTACTATAAGTTTTTATCTTAGTGAATCGAAACAACGATTTACTCAACACACTTTAAGATCCTTCAGGATAGAATGTCCAACTAGTATTTTATTCTTTATCAATTCTGCAACTTCTTTGTGCACATCATTGAAAGCTCGAGCTGGTCCATTTTTTCGCAAATCACGAGGTCTTATACCAGAGAATTTTGTTCGATAATCAACAACACGTTCTTCTGGACGTACATAAGCATCCAATAGGGTATGACCAAATTGATTTACAATTGAAACACGTGCTAATGCATCATCTTTACCTTCAAAACCTACTCCAACGAATTCACAATCCATTGCAATACGACGTGTCGGACTGTTAAAAAATGTACATAGAAATATACACACCAAAATACATGTTTATCGTTTTTATTTTTACCCAAAAAATATATATGATCAATAAATACTCAAATTAGAATTGAAAATTATCTAAACTTATTCGCTTGGAAGAATTATCAGTGAAACATCAGAAGCATTACCAGACATATCTATCTAGGGTTACTGCCGGTTCCGAGCCCGAGTAAAGAAGAAGGTTTAGACAACCTGGCTGCAAAATGCTTACCAGAAAAAAACAATTCAAACCATTCAAGTATAGGTATCAATGCCATGGTTGGACTTGACAGTTTCAAATAAATTGAGTATTGGTTAGACGGTTAGTAATAAATATAATTTTCGTTATATCCCAATGAGTAGAAAAATAGTATTCATGACGTTCCGTGACTTAATGAATAACATCTACAAACCCTAATGTTTCCGATCACTGCTTATACTCTACCTACTTCTACCACTACAGGATTTGAATCGACAACTGCATCTCTGTTCTAATGTGGTGTGACACCTCGAACTGATGTACGTACGTACGAAGTCCTACGTTGTTGATGACTAACTGACCGTGAATTAATGCAAGCCACTTCTTCAGAGTAATTTTTTATTTACTCACGAAACGTCAGGAATACAATTTTTCTACTCATTGGGATATAACGAAAAATATATTTACTATCCTTCAAAATCTGACCTGGGAGTCGAAAGATCTTCATTTAGAAGAATTGTGACGCTTTATGATGAAAGCCGAGATTTTTGGAAGCCACGAGGCAGATGACCCTTATAACAAACACAGGAACAATTAACACAGATACATAGAATGTTTGGACAATGTAGGAGACCGGAAGGACCGATCGAATAGCTACAGAAATGAAGAGATACAACTTGACGGTGTTCCAAATCAGTGAAAACCATTGAACCCAAGCTGGACGAAGAAGATTAGATCTGGGAGAGGTGATGTCGGAAGAAGCACTTATAGCACTTATAAGATGAGAATCTCATGGATCCAGAATCGTCAAAGCATCCTTCAAAACAAAGAAGAAGGGAATCACAATGAGTGTTATGCATCTACCAACGGTAGCATTGAGCGATAAAAATCAGCTTTATGGGGGGCTGTAGTCGATCGTAGAGAAGGACCCACGAAAGGAACCTGACCATCTTGATGGGAGATCTAAATGCCGAGGTTAGAATGGATAACATCGGGTATGAAGATATCAAAGGACATGGACTGACTGGGAGAAAGGAACGAGAATGCAAAGATATATGTAAATTAATGTGCCTATAAGAAAATGGTTATAAATGACACTATATTCCCCCACATACGCACACACAAAGCTACATGAGTCTCACCGGACCACACCATAAAGAAGCAGACCGATCATATTTGCATTACTAAAAAATTCAGTTGGTTAAAGGAAGACATGAGAAAAGAGAGAGGTGTTGACATAGCTTCAGATCACCACCTGGTGATTGTCAAAATGAAAAATGAAGTTAAAGAAACAGTGGGCAAACAGCATTACAGAGGTTTAATACAGTATTTTTTCGGGATACTGGTAAACTCAACGAATTCAAGATAGCCCATAGCAACAGGTTCTAAGCCTGACGAGATCTACGCAAAGAAGAAACTACTGTTGAGAGCAACTCTCAACATTACTCGTTAACATACATCGACTTCCTTGACTATAAGAAAGCCCTTCACAGTGTGGACAGAAGAAACTTATAGAAACTTCTTCGGCACTATGGTGTATATAAGACGATGCTCAACATCATACTAAAATCATGTGACGGCTGGGTATCATCGGCTACAACCTACAGTGACAAGGAACAAATCAGCTTCTAACTGAAGAGGAAATTAAAAAAGGACGTTGGAGGTGGATAGGATACACATCACGCAGATTAACAAACCGCATCATGAAGCAATCCCTAACGTGGAATCCTAAAGGGAAAAAGAAGAGTAACAGCAAAGAACATATTACGCAAGCAATAAGAGACAGACAATAAAAGAATGAATAGCAATGAGAAATGAGAGCTCATGACAGAGGTGGTTGGAGTAACAGGAGCAAGTAAATTATTTTGCTAAATTATCCCTCAATTTATTGTCGTTATTATTATTTTTTACCACAAATTGGTCACATTTCACTGACGATGGCTAGTTTGCTTATAAAGTAGTTTTAGTGTTGTGAATTGGAGCTATCAATCACCAGAAGTGTATTTATGAAGCATTTTGTGGATCCATATAATGTTTTCCAATCTTCTCTAAGTAACATTAGTATTTTTTTTTAAAAAAAAAGTAGTTTCATGAACACATGAAATCAAACTGGGATTTTACCCTGAAAATGATGTTAGTTTCACTAAAGATTTTGTTGTAGCCGATTGATCTTGCATTGAATTAGCAATTAAAGCCTGTGGTACATCATCAAACCATACTTCTTTCATGTTATTTGTTGAATATAAATTTGAAGTTGAGTTATGCAAATTATACTGTTGATTTGATTGATCATTTTCTGATTTGTTATTGACAATGAACGATTTAGATTTTTTATTTGGTCTAATAAAAGTCAACAGTATTACAAATTTATTATTATTTAAGTGAATGATACAATGCAAAAAAACATTTGTAAATGTATAATAAATTGACATTTAATATAGGGTTACAATACATTCAACACTTATGATCGAATTGAAAGTTCAATTATTCTATTTGTTAGTTAAGAAGCAAGCTTATTTCCAAAGAGACATGTTCAGCAACTTTGTTTTTCAGGCCAAGAATGAACATTCTCGTAATTAACATGTAAATGATGTTTATATCTTAATGCACTAATTTTTTTTTATTTACTTAGGGATCTATTTGTTGAGTCGGCTTTCGGAGGACTTTAACGGAGTCTCCAGAGGCCCAAAAGGAGCCTAAGAGTCCTAACCAATCAGAGCATGATGGAGCATTCTAGAATTCCAACGAGGCGTGCTACTATTGGTCATTAGCATAATATGTCGTTAACGGATTGGCCGAAATATGATGTTGATTTAACAAACGTTAACATCTATAAATACCCATGTTTTCTGTACAGAAACGAACCTTGGAGTAAAGTGTCTCTCTCATACTTTGCGTCTTCTTTCTGGTGTTCAGGTCGCTGTATAGTTCTAGCGTGTGGGTTATCAGAATAGCTTAAGAACGAATATAGCGTCCAATCAGCAAGACTTAACACTATTCCACTGATTGGCGAACCAATGTAAGAAAAATCAAATCCGTCTATTTTTATTAGACAAATAATGGCTATTTTATTTATTTTAATGCAAGTCAGTCAGTCAGCGTAGGACCATGCACATATATTGCATCGGTCGAAGTTGCCACACCTCATTAGTACAGCAAGATGAACACCGGATTCATAGTAGTTAATTCAATGGTGCTAATATATGAAAGAAAGATTGTGTATTAGAATATGGTACAGGAGGAAAGAATCGGTTCGTAGAAAGAAAGATATGGAGCGATTTTAATCTCATAGTTTAAAGGAAGACAGAGAATGTATACACCTACGCCATTGTGATCGATTCTGAGCCATGTCACTCGGTCTCCAACCATTGCTTACGATAATCGCGTGGACCCCAACCAAGTAGTCTGCATCTACCAACATGGCTCAGACTAGAAGTCAGTAACTTTATGGACTGGTTCGACGTTTCGATTTGGCCGCCCCTAACTTCCTTCGAACCACCCTCCCCCAACACTAGTCAGTTTTGCGCGTCGTGATAATCGGTGTTCAGGCATACGTAACACGTTTCTCAACCATCTCAGTCGATGAACATTCAAAACCTCATCAATTAATTTACCATCACTCCCTAATATCCTACGTCTAACTTGAATTTAATCCAAGTTATCAATCATAATGGATGGTTTTGTTATTTCTATTCAGAGATTTATCACAGATAAATGAAAATAGAGATAGAGGGTGATATATATGATAAGGATTTGTACAATTCTAAGACTTGATAAGTAAAATAAACAAATGCCATATAACATTCCAGTGCCATTAATGAGGCATCTATTTCAAGAATGTTTATATGGGATGTATATTATCATTTAAATATTATCATTTACATCACTCAACCTAATTGAATGAGATTTCACTGAAGACATTTTTTCAACTGATACATCTTTGTCCAATTTTGAAAATGGTTGTTCACAAGAATTATCACTTGACATTGTGAAAACATTAGGAATCACTTTTGGCTTATCAGATATCAATTGGATTATTTCCGTTCGATTGATTGTATTGGGCTTTTGCTTTTGATTACGAGAAACGAATTCTGCTCGTCGTTTCTGTATAATCTTCTGTTTTAATAAATGTATTCTGAAAGGTAATTCAATCATCAAATGGTACACTTTTAGAGTACAATAAAAAATTTCTTTAAAGGTTCGTTTAAAACCATAACAATAATGAATAACAGATGAGCTAAAATATACAATTAAATACAAGAAAATACATTAGTTGATTAGTGGAATGAATTCACTGAAATACAATGGTTGGAAAAATACCTTCATCTTTACCATGAATCAAATGCTAATTGAATGATGAAATAACCTGTGGAAAATACATCGTTGACGAGGTTAGATCTATATTCAAGTCTAAATTAGAATGGGATCTTTTTAAAAGTAACAAAATACATCTTGATGGCAGATTTTAACAATCACAACTATATACTTTAAACTTCCTTATTGACAATTAAAAACTTATGATTGTTTAACCGTATTCAATCTATTAATTTGAACTAGAAATAGATTAATTACATTATAGAAAGCAATATCGACAGGATGTTCCTCTTACAAAGAATAAAAAGGCTTCTAACTGTTTACTCATATTGTTGAAATTTTCGTGACAATTGTCCAACCAAAACAATCTATGAACTTCATTCTTTCAACAACAAAGTTTTTATCTCATACCGCTTTGGTTTGCCTATCAATCTGATCATGTCTGTAAACTGACATGCATTCTACAACAATTTCCAGTATATAGTTCATTTATTTACTATTCATTTATTAGATTTATTATTTATTTGAACACATAAATATTGGTACAAAGGGGCACCAGATTTATATGCGCCACACCAAAGTGGGAATAAAAGAGAGTGAATCAGTGACGTGGTAAAAAAGAATGATAATAATAATAATAATAATAATAATAATAATAATAATAATAATAATAATATGTGAACTGTTTGACTGTTAATCGAAGCAAGTATAGTATTTTCAGTAAATATCGTCATTTCATTCTATTTGTGTGTGGGCTGTAATACTGCCTGGGTGACCAGACCGAAGCAGGTGGTTTTCGTAAAGAAATCACACCCCGAGCCTTCGACTCGAAGGTCTGACCCACAAAGCAGTGGAGCAACGTAAGGAGATGCAGTCCCATGGTAGCCGGTGACCAACGATTGGTTCATACGCCATTTATTCCCGCAGGATACTGGAGCCCATGTGCACCATCGGTTTGGAGTCAGGGTTTTCCAACTCCCCTAGGTGGACTCTCCATGTCCACCAACCCGGTTAAAGCGCCGGACATTCGCTTTTCGTCCACACAATTTCGTAAACATTACCCGTGTTGCGAGAAGGCAGTGAGTAGGACTTCCCTGGCAGAGGCTGTATACGCGTGGCCGTGTGAAAACATTTCGAGAGGGAGGGCGGACCCACCCCACTCTCGGCCGTACTAGGGCATTTGGGGGCGATATAACACACAATATTTTCTTGAAGCAATATAAGAATGTGAATAGATATAAATGTAAAACAAATGATCATTGAACACACTGATAAAACATTGTTTAAATCTATTTACCTTGAATCATATTTTGATTTGAATTTTCTTTTTCTTATAAATGGATAATTTTTCTTTTCTTTATTCTTATTATTATTGTGATTATCTTTTGATTTATTATACATTATAAGGTGAAAATTGATAAAAATAACTAAAATGGCATAGAAACCAGAATAGAAGGGGAATAAAGGGGTTAAGGGGAGATAAAGTCTTCTTTTTTAAAAAAAAAAACACAATGATTTATGCAGGGAATATTTTATATTTCGTAGAAGTTTATATACACTTCTTTTGTTTTATATTATAAAAAATATAAATGTTATTTACAAGGATTGAACACAATTCAAATAGAGTAATGTAACATGCCTAAAGGATAACCAAGATTAGCAATTAATCGTATTACTGGACTGCAACCACCAACAAAAAATGCACAATTTGAATGATATTTTAATTTTAAAGAATCTACCGATTCAGATAGATTAAATTGATCAACAACAAGTATATGACTTAAACGTAAGTTAGGTGGATCATGTAAATCCACTGAAGCCAACAAATTGCCAACATGATCCCACATATATAATAAACTTGAATTACCACCGGATACAATGCGTGAATCATTATCCATATCACAAAAAATGGCTGTTTGTGAATACCAAGTGTCTGATAAACCTGAAAGAGAAAGAAAACTATAAAGTGAAAAAGTCACAAGATTAAAGTTAGGCATCTAAAAGAACTAATCAATTACAGTCTACCTTCCATGACAAACCAACATATTTAAATCAATATAAGACGGAAATCTTCATATAAACAATCTGAAAGACAGTTCACACCAACCAAAGAACAACTATGAAGATGATTATCAAAGATCAAAACACTTTTCCTACATAAAAGAAGATTTAGAACGCTTAATTACAAAACAAAACTCATATTTCGCTTTCTTATCCTTTCATTCCTTATAATTCATATTCTATGTTTAGTTTTATTTTCCAACACACAGCAGCTCGCCTGAGGTGAAAATTCTGTCCTATCTAAACGATCTCAAGTAACTGAATGGTCGAAAGTTAAATGCTTAAACTGAATACGATTTATAAACCAGCCCCCTTAAAACCACGTTTATCAATAAAACTGGCTTCTTTCAGCGTTCAAACAATAACGGAGATCGGACAACATATAGGCTTGGTAATGTTTTTAGAAAGTCTTAACATCAAGTTTAGTGTTGAAAGTCGATTTAGGAGGAACAATAGGAATTGAAGAGGAAAATTGATTATGAACACAGTGATCTCCATTGTCGTTAGAGAAATGAAGGCGGTTATCACTTCCTGGTTGCCCACACCGTGAAAGGTTCTTATACAGGTACCTGAAAAGGAAATTGGGTTAGAGGTGCTCTTAGTGACCTGAGAGCGTGACCGCAGTTCCCAAGAGACAGCGGCTTGAGGCCGGTCACACACAACCTTTTCGTGTTGGCTTCGTACTTGGTGAAACCTTAGTGACCGAGACGAGAATCTGTGGATTAGGCGAGGTGTGTATTTTTAGGGTCGACCCTTTCTAACCCCACCCTTTCTTGTGAGAAGGCAGCATCGCTGTTAAGCTGGTTGTCTGAGGGAAACATCTTATGCCGTCACACCTCTGTACAGTCAGCAGTACGACTTCGGACCTTGGATTTGCTGCTCTTAGACTTACCACCCTTCAACCGACCTATTTATTTATTTATTTGAACACAGATATATTGGTACAGGAGTGCGCCAAATATATATGCGCCACACAAAACAATGAGAATTTAAGAAGAAAAAGTGGGGAACGTATATATATATATATAATATAAACAATAACGAAGAGATTGGTGTAAGGAAGTGTAATAATAATAGAAATAGTAAGGGAACAGAAGGGTACAATCAGAAGAAATCTTTCACTTAAGGAAGATGTAACCACTTTTTATGAAGACAGTAAAAGGTTACAGCAGGATCGCCACTGGCTTCTATTCTGAGCCATATCTGATAACGTCTCTAGCCACTGTGTAGCACCATCTCTTAGACCCCAAACAGGGAGTCGTGAAGGACCAACACAAGCCAGTCCTTTGCAGCTTTCTTTCATACCACGACACCATGTCATATACTGACCACCTCTCCGCTTCTTCCAACCAGTCCCAGAGTCGGCAAATAATGCACGACGTGGAATTCTCTGGGACGACATTCGTAGAACATGTCCAAGCCACCGAAGTCGGTGTTTCAAGATGGTGACACCGATTGCATTATCATCTCTGTGCCCGAACACACGATGCCGAACCTCTGCATTACTGACATGGTGTTGCCACTGAATGTCAGCAATCCTTCGGAGACAGCGATGATCGAACACAGAGAGTCGTCTAACGTCCTCAACTCGGAGAGGCCAGGTTTCACAAGCATAGAGCAAAACTGCTCTCACCGACGCGTTGTAGATCCGACCTTTTACAGCCAGACTAACATCACGAAGGCGCCAAAGGTGGCCCAGATTGGCATAAGCCGCTCTGGCTTTCACTATTCGTGCATTGATCTCATCACTCACACCCCCACCAGCACTTATGCAGCTACCCAGATACACGAACTTCTCGACTACGTCTATCTGCTCACCATCCAGGGTGAGTACAGGATTAGAATCCTGCCAGTCTTGTAGAAGTACTTTGCACTTCGAAGGTGCAAAGCACATACCATACCTACGGACACTGATTGCCAACTGATTAAGTGCGGATTGCATGCCTTGGGCATTATCGCACAGTAAGACAATATCGTCCGCATACTCAAGGTCGAGAAGTCTTTCTCCAGGCAACAGATCCACACCACCATTACTTACATTCATCAGAGCTGTTTCCAGAATGTCATCGATGGCAAAGTTGAAGAGGAATGGTGAGATTGGGCAACCCTGCCTAACCCCACTGCTCGAATGGAACAATGGAGAGAGGTGGTTGTATGCCCTCACTCTGCCTGAGGTGTTTTTATATAGGGCTTTTAGGATGTTAATAAACTTCTCAGGCACACCCTTCTTCAATAGACAATCCCAGAGAACAGTCCTGTCCAACGAATCGAAGGCAGCCCTGATGTCAAGAAACACTACGATTGTTGGCCTTTGAAAAGTATGGCGGTGTTCTAACATTTGGCGGAGGGTGAAGATATGATCAATACATCCTCGACCAGAACGAAACCCAGCCTGCTCCTCGCGAGTCAATCTTTCTCGGGTTTTGAACAACCTACGAAGAATGACGGAAGCCAATAGCTTGGACGCAATCGGAAGTAGACTTATCCCCCGATAGTTGTTACAGGAACGACGTGAACCCTTTTTAAAGATAGGGACAACTATCGACTCATTCCATGACGTTGGTACACTCTCTAGTTCCCAAACCTTTGTAAACAACGTCGTCAATTCCTTAGTCAAAAAGTCACCACCATCTTTAAAAAGAGCCGGAGGTAAGTCATCTGGGCCAGGTGATTTGTAACGCTTCAAGAGTTGGAGTTCCTTGCGGACTTCCTCCTCGTTTGGTGGATCAGTCGTCACCGGCCATGGAGGGCAGGACAGTCTGACCGATGTTGCCGGAGCAGCAGGCCAGTTGAACTGCCCTTCGAAAAATTCTGCCCATCGTCCAAGACGTCGATGGATGTTAGTGATTGGCATCCCATCATCCTCGCAGATTGTTTCACTCACACCAGACTTCTTGCTGCCAGTGGCTCGGATGAGCTGGAAGAGCTTCCGGTAGTTACCAGATGCAGCTGCTGCTTCCAGCTCATTAGCACGCATCGACCACCAGGCTTCTCGGTCCTTACGCAAGCTTTGCCCAATTTCCTTACGTAACATCCTTCGTTTATGGTCAAACTCACGGTCACCCGGAGTAGACCGACGGGCTTCAATGAGTTGTAAGGAACCAGAAGAAACCCAGTGCTTAAAGCGGGACGTTTCGCAAACCCACAACTGACTGTTCCCGCCATTTTCATGGCGTCATGCAATTGCAACCAATGCTCATCTATACTTTTCGGTGGAGTGGTAGCTAGCCTAGAGGCTAGCTCGGTTCGATACTTACTTGCAACAGAAGTTGCAACCAGCTTGCTAACATCAATCCGTTGATGGCGTCACTTCGTTGTCCACTGAAAAGTAAGGCAAGATTGGCGCAGACCAAGGCATGGTCAGAGTCCAGATAGGTACTCCAAAAGGAGCGGCAGTCTTGTACACAACCACGCCAGCGGTAGCTGATCGCGATGTGATCAATCTGAGTCCAGGCTTGAGATGCAGAGGGAGGACGCCAGGTGGCACATCGGCGATGACTGTGCCGAAAGTTAGTGCTAGCCAGAAACAGGTTGTGGTCTGTGCAAAGTTGCAGTAGACGGTCCCCGTTATCTGACCTGCGACCAACGAGTCCCCATCGGCCACCTAAACGACTCTCTTCTGTGCCTAGACGCCCGACCTGAGCATTCAAGTCTCCGGCTAGTACTACAATATCTGTCGAACGCACTTTCTGGAGAAGAACAGATAACTGGTGGTAAAACTCATCCTTGATTGCATCCGGGCTGCAATCTGTCGGGGCATAGGCGGAGATGACGAAAAGACATCGTTTCTCACGCCGATTTCTTCTCACTTTGATGGAACTTTCTAATCTAACAGCACATAACCGACTGTTAATGGGGATCCAATCGACTAGTGCTGCCTCAGCTCTAGCGCTTAGTGCGACACCAACGCCAGCAAGACCAGACGAAGATGCCACAGGGTCCCCGGATAAGCGCACGTAAAACAAGCTTTTCGAAGCGACAGATGGAGATCGAATTTGTAGTACTTCGCCAGAGTCTTGAATACGGGTCTCGGATAGACAACGAACGTCGATATTAAGACTTTCCAAAGACATAGCCAGCCCTATCTGTTGTCCGACCTGCATAAATGTGCGAACGTTGAAGGCAGCCAGTTTGAATGGTGCACGTGGTTTCAGAAAAACTGCTTCAGTTCTCGTATTCGGTGGTAACATACAATTTTCAACCGGACAGTGACTCGAGAAGGTTTAGATACAGTCGAATTTTCACCATAGACGAGCTGCTGTATAAGTCGAAAAAAATAAGCATAGACAGAGTAGGAATAAAAGAGGGTGAATAATGACGTAGTAAATAATAATAATAATAATAATAATAGCAATAATAATAATTGAATCATTTGAATGTTCGTCGAAGCAAGAGAATTAGTTTCCATGATCATAGACAGTTCAGTTCATTAATTGCGTGTGGGCTGCGATACTGCCCGGGTGCCCAGAACTATCTGGCATGGTAGGACCTTGAGGAACCATTGTTCCAGCCAATATAGCTCGATTGGTTCATCACGATAGGCAAGTCCGGCCACCACGTCAAGATAGCAACAAGGGTCGGGCTTAACACCAATGTCTGTTGTCTATCTGAGAGCCGTATCAAGACTCTAGTGCAGTGCAACACATTCGCTTTCCGTCTGCAGCTTCAATAAGCTTGTTTCATAGGCGTTTATCCGAGGACCGTGTGGCAGGACTAATCAACTGGATCCCAATCAACAGTTGATTGAGTTAAATTTAGAAAAAAAATTCATCAAAAAGAAACGTATTCGGTTCGAGAAACTATGTCATTTAGTTATCTCCGCCTATGTTCCAACCACCAGCATGTTTAACGGATATAGTGTCGCTAGCCGGCGATTTGAATACGCAGGTCGAGTGTCTAGGCACAGAGTTGTTTGAGTGGCCGACAGGGACCTATTAGCTGCAGATTTGGTAACAGAGACCGTCTCCTGTGGCTTTGTACAAACCACAAACTGTTTCCGGTTAGGACCAACTTTGGCGCAGTCATCGCTGATGTGTTAACTTGCATCCTCCCTCTGTAGCTCAAGCGTTGGCTCAGACTCGATACATTGTGATCAGTTACCGCTGGTGTAGTTGTGTACAAAACCATCACTGATGTTTTGGACGAGGGACAGAGTTCTTTGACGGACAGTTCAGCTGGTCTACTGCCCTCGTGAAACAGGTCAAACTGTTCTGTCCTTTATGGACGGTGACGACTGATCCACCTAAATCGGCGGAAGTTCGCAAGGAACTACAACTCCTGAAGCTCCATAAATGACTACACAACTTACCTCTGGTCCATCTTAGGGATGGTGATGAACTTTTGATCAAGAAAGTGACAGTTGTTTGCAAACGTTTGAGAATTAGTGTTGCAACGCCCCGAAACAAGGCGATAGTGTTCCATTTTAAAAACGTTTTACATCAACTACGCAAAAACTATAAGGGGATAAGTTTAATTCAAATTGCATTCAGACTGTTTGTTTACGTCATACTTTGCGCACTGCCGAAAACCCGAAAATAGTTGACTCACGAGGAGCAGACTGGTTTTCCTTTTGACTGAGGACGTATTGATATATATATATATATATATATATATATATATATAGTTTCTGCCAAATGTTAGAACACCGAAGTAAATATTGCAGGTTAATAATCACTGTATCTTGATACGAAGACTGCCTTCGATGAACAGGACTGTTATATTGGATCTTTTGAAGGATGTGGCTGAGAAGTTTATCAACATTTTGAAGGCTCTGTATACAAACACCCCGAGTAGGGTGAGGGAGTACGATCACCTCTCATCCTTCCACTAAAGTAGTGAGGTTAGGGAAGGCTACCCAATCTCACCACTCCTCTCTAAATTAACCATCGACAGCATTCTAGAAAGTTCTGATGCAAGTAAGTAGTAGTGGTGCGGATGTCACCTGAAGTAAGGCTTTCCGACTTTGAGTATGACGATAGTCATGCTGTTTAATGATACTGTGGTGTGCTACTTATATCGACATAAGTAGTATATGACGTTAGTCAGGAGTAGAATGTCTGGCAGCAGAGAGACAAGAGGATCGAACATTTAAGAATGGAAACAGAACGCAATTTGTATGAAAATGCAAGAACAATGGAGTCCGAGATATTTTAAGACAAGTGATGGACATTTTGCAAATTAAGCATTTACTATATGATTATTAGATTTTATTAACAAGTTCTGTAATTTCCTGTTAAATACATTCGATTGTCCCCTACTCGTGTTCTGTTCACTACAATACCTAATCCATACAATCCCCACCTAATCAGTTGGCAACCATTTTCCGTAGGTATGGCGTGTGTTTATGACCTTCGAAATGCGAAGAATTTCTACAAGATTGGTAGAAGCCTGATCCTGCACTCATTCTTGGTAGTGAGCAGTTACAAGTAGTAGAAAAGTTCATGAACTTGGGTAGCCTTGTGGGTGCTAGTAGTTTTATGACTGACGAGATTAATTTTGGTATGTGGAAGCCAATCTGGGCCATCGTGTCGTGAGTCTGATAGCAAAAGGTTGGATTTACAATGCGTTGGTGAGAGTGGTTCTGCCCTATGCTCATGAAATCTGACCTCTCCGAGTTGAGAATGTTAGGCAACTCTCAGTAATCAATCGTTTTTTCTCTGAAGGATTGCTGACACTCAGCAGTAACACCATGTTAATATTCAGAGGTTCGATAACGTGTGTTCAGACAGTGACGACAATTCAATTAGTGTCAAAACCTTGAAGTACTGGCTTCGGTGGTTTGGACAAGTGCTACAATCGTCGTTCCAGTAAACTTCACGTCGTGCATTACTTGCCGACGCTGAGGTTGGTTGAGAAAAGTGGAAATAGTCAGTTATTGTGTCGGGGTATGAAACAAAGCCAAACAGGACCGGTATCCATCGACTCCTCGACTTTCTGGTTGATATTCGAGATACCATGCAACTCAGTGACTTGAAACGTCATCAGACATGGCTCAGAATATAAACTAATGGCAATTCCGATGTAGTTTTCTTTCACTTATTTTAAAAGAGGAACTTCCTTAACTGAAAGGATACATTGTGGCAAACCTTGTGCTAACTGAACTACATCCCCAATTATAAACTATTCCCACTCACTTATTTTTTATCCATTTATTGTTTTTGACCATACTTACCCACCTTCCTCTATTTCTTAGTAGTCTTGTTGTCTTATTATGTGGTGTGTATTTCTTCCAGTTCACCTTTGTGCCAATATTTGTTTAAGTTATAATGATGAACTAAACTTAGTTTGCACAAAACAGGAAATGTATGACCAGTTAGTAGAGCCCAGTAAGCTTGTAAAACTGTAGCCTATCTCCTATCATTTTGACATAATTAAAATAACCCATAACGAATCCGAGAATTAAAAAGTTTCATAGCCGAATATTACCGTAAAAAATTAAATTAAACAGAAATTTTAAGTGATTCAGTTCTTCTACCATCCAATAACAACTTTGATGTGAATTATTTATTAAGGTCCTATGAGACTTTTTAGTACGACACTAATTAACGAATGTAACTCATGCATTCGGCTTTAGGCATATTGTTTGTGCAAAGGGTGGTGACATTAACCAGGTGCCTGAATCGAAGCAAGTGAAACTCTGTCCGAATATGTGGCCTAGTGGTTAATAGCAGGGTGTTGGCAGTTGGTTATACTCTTACCACCTCTACCACTACGGGATTTGAATCGACAACTGCATCTCTGTGCTTATGTGGTGTGGCAACTCGAACTGACGTAAGTACGTACGAAGTTCTACGTTGTTAGTGACTGACTGACAGCAGTGTTGTAAATAATAAGTCACCACTCTACATTGACAAGTGAGACAATGTTCATGATGAAGGTTCTGAACATGTTCATTATACTACTAGTTTAAATAAATCAGTATTTGATCTACTAAAAACAAAGTGGATTATTAGTTAAACAATCTTGTATTGTTTTGTACTCTAAAGATTATATCAACCTTACTGTGTTCGAAATATTTGTTATTTTGTCACCGCCTAACAGGATTTTGTCAGTATATCAATTCTAAAGAACATGGAAGATAGATCAAGCTGAATAAAATGGCATAGAACAGCTAGTTTAAAGTAATTCTAACTTTGTCGTGTATTTTCAAGACAACGCTATGCAGACCGTTACAAGTGAGTATGAGCTGAACGCAATCATCCATGTTATTACCATGTTCAAACAATCTGAATCTCTTATCAAGAATAACAGCTTTGTCCAGTAGTTACTAATAACTTTGTATTTTCCTACAAACAATAGTGAGCTACTACGGCTAAGGTGATATTAACACAAATATATTTTAACTGACGCAGAATAATGACTTAAACCATCAAGTGAGTAATCAATCAATAAGATAACATATTTAAAGCTCTGCAAACCTTGGTTGAGAATGCAACAAACAAACACACCTAGAAAAATATTAAGACATTTAGGAAGATTTACCTTCAGGGTGTAATATAGAAACATTCCTCCCGGCACGCCTACTCCATAAAGAAAGTCGAGGCCCCCCTCCCGTAACAAACCAATCCTCTTCGAACTGTTTACAGGATAAAGTAGTTAACCAAGATCCAAGCTTGGATCGAGATAATTCACTATTTAGATACGGTTTGAACGCAGATGAAGCCTTAAAGCTCCCATTCTGTATAACTCTGTTATCCCAAAAGCAGACAGTACCATCCTCAGAACTAGTAGAAAACTAACAAAATGAAACATTAGATTGAAAAACGAACCTCGTGTGCTCCAACCTTGCAAATTTTATAGATCGTGGACTTATGCCCAGTAAATTTGAGCTTTTCTTTGACATCACAACCAATTAAAAACGTATGGATAGTTCCATCACCTAATGCGGCCAATAGAGTGTCACTTTCTGTATGATAACACAACCCGGTAACCTAAGCACGATTGAGTGAAATGTAACTAGTGTATTGATTTATCCACCTTACTTCAGAAACGGTTGCGTAAAGATTTCCGGACGTCAGATGGACTGTATCATGATATTTCAGAAAGCCGTCGGTAGGTGTAGTCCATTTGTATACAACAATCAGACCAATTGACCCACAAAAAACATAATCCTTCCCGAAACATAAAGCGTAAATATTCCCTGCGTACTTCACGTTGATAATACATTCTGGCTTCCCCTCAATTTGTGCATCTATAACAAGAAAATTGTAGGATCAACGCTCACATACCACAGGACAGTGAACATAACGAATAAATTAGTATTTTCTGTATATTAGTTCCAAAAAGTAGATATTTCCTACATGGAGATGTAACGGATGATAGTATGAATGTATGAGCTATTATCCTATTATTGTTCATATCTATAAGAAAAAAAATGTAGAAAATAATATGAACTATATCATCACCAAAAACAATACCCATAACCAGTTTTATTGCTTCGTTTGCAGTGACAGGCATTAGCTTATATTACCTTGAGAACCATATTTAAGTCTTCTTCTACGAGTAAAGACGAGCCAGTGACTTGTTTATTAGGCAGGAAAGATAGGATAAGACAAGTTTCATTTGTTGGCACACACATGTGACCAATTAAATACTGATAAAACAGCACTCATATCAGTTTAACATTTTACAGCATAAAATGAGAAGATACTGGCTACTAGATTTCAGAGCGAAATCAGAAACAAGTACCTTTTACTTATTGTGAGCTATGATATGCCTCAACAAAATTTACCTATATTTCGCTACATAAATTCTGGAAATCAAGAAACATGACAAGACGTGAGACTAGGAACAAAGTTTAGCGATTCATAGGGTGGAGGGGACTTTATTAGTTTTTTTAATGGAAAATTCACCCTATACTTTGGTGGTGAACCAATACATTTAAGATAGTGACTCGTAGATAGTTACATTTACCCGTATAGATGCAAAGGATGAGTACTTTGTAGCTTCGTAAACCCAACCCTCGTATTGTAGGTGATGCTAGTTCGTGATGAAAGCCTTAACTCTTCTCTCTTACTGTAAGAAGCAATTAGCGTGAAACTCTTGATTATTTATGTTAAGACTCATTACCTCTTGTAATTTTATCATCCTTTATTACGATCCTTTTTATCACTAAAGACTACCTTCTGCTTAGCTAAAAGCCCCCAAATGCCCTAGTACGGCCGAGAGTGGGGAGAGTCCACTCTTCCTCTCGAAATGCTCTCACACGGCCACGCGTATATAGCCTCTGCCAGGGAAGTCCTACTCACTGCCTTCTCGCAACACGGATATTGTTTACGAAATTTGGAGGACGAAAAGCGAATGTCCGGCGCTCTAACCGGGTTGGTGGACATGGAGAGTCCACCTAGGGGAGTTGGAAAACCCTGATTCAAAATCAGTGGTGCACATGGGCTCCAGTATCCTGCGGGAACAAATGGCGTACGAACCAATCGTTGGTCACCGGCTACCATAGGACTGCATTTCGTTACGTTGCTCCACTGCTTTGTGGATCAGACTTTCAGGTCGAAGGCTCCGGGTGTGGCCACCTAAGAAAACCACCTGCTTCGGTCTGGGCACCCGGGCAGCATCAAAGCCCTCTCACATATTAAATGAGATCTGTGTGGCACATATGTATTTGGTGCCTCCTTGTACCAATATGTGTTAAAAATAAAAAAATTTACCATGAAAACTACATAAATGGACTTTCTCAAGATTAAAGTGATTTGGAATTAGGTAACATATGTTCTGCGCTAATCAGTATGAAACTATACCTTATTTATTTTATTTTATTTTAACACACAGATATTGGTATAAGGAGGCACCAAATACATATGCGCCACACAGATCTCATTTGGTATGTGTAAGGGCCGTGATACTGCCCGGCGGCCCAAACCGAAGCAGGTGGTTTTCTTAGGGGACCTAAGCTCTATTTCTTATGTGGGTCTTAAGGTATACGTTAAAAGTATATTGTCGCAGTGCTATATCAACATAAATACCAACAGAATTAGTTGTATCAATATATATGTAATACTGTAAATCAAATATCAGTCTACTGGTCATTTATGGTAAGAGCAGGTTAGGGGACAGATGGACCTTAATATCACTGCCTCACCATAGACGGTGTAGACAAGAGTCTGCTTGAATAGCGATTAGTATGACCTGTATATACACAAGCTAAATTATGATGCCCAAATTGAATTCTAACTGGATCTAGGTTATTGAGCTGCTGCACATAGCTAGAAAATTACCCTCAAATAAAAAGGCAGCAGTATTTCGAGAAAATACCGAGCGCTTTCATAAGCCCAGTTTTTGATTTGAATGAGACCATCAAGGTGGACCCCATTAGAAAAGCGGATAACAAGCACACAGATGTAAGCATGGTTATAAAGAAAAAGAAAAATCACGCTAAGAAAGTAATTATAGGCAGCACTAAGGTATGTGAATCTACTGTTCCAGTTTCGGATTCACATATCAACGCAGAACAGACTATGGGGGAGCAAAGTCTGAGCGGCATAGAGAATGTGATCAAGAGACATAATAAGGTAAATGACTGGCTTACAGTCACACCTAGAAAGAGGAAAATAAGAAAACGGAATGAGATCTCTGCATTTGGCGCTAAATCGGAGTCCGACTGCGGGGAGATTTCAGGAATTAACACTCCACAGTGTGTTATGACGGGCCTCGTTGACAGGCAAGTCACTTTTCATAAGGTCCGAGAATCTTTCAAAAAGGAACCAGAGGCTAGATTTGAGCACGACCTAAGCTACATTAAGTCCTTAATAAACAAACTACTCCAGAAACAGTTTCAGGAGTTAACATCTGTAATCATTGTAGAATAAGACAAAAGGTGGAGTCTGAAAGTACTCAGAAAAGCCGCCTCATAAAGGTTACCATTGCTTTGGCTGAATAAAGAAACCCAATACTGGGAAACTCACGCAAACTGATTGGATCCGGAATACAAGTTCGTGAGGATCTTATCCTGGCTGAGAAGAAATGCTGAAATGTTGCCATCAGCCTTGGCACAGCAAGTACTATGGCACGCCACAGGTGTAATTAAAACCAGGGGAGCTCTGAGAAAATATGAAATGCAGTTGGCACAATCTGCAATCAAGCAGTTTAAGAGACCATTCTCATACTTAAATTACAGAACAAGGATGCAGCATCGGATAGCCAACCTAACTAAGGAAAAGAGTGGATCTGAAACGATAGAGGATGATTAAGAAATAGCAGAGGCTGTGACAAACTATTTTGGGTCAGTTTTCACTCAGTAACCTCATCTAGACGAAGGAGTAGACCCAAATACGAAGTCAACAAACCGTCTGCTCACCGTTGACTTTGATCAAGACAATGTACTTAAGGCTCTCAGAACCTTAGATACGGTAAGTCAACAAAACTGGATGAACTACACCCCAAAATCCTGAGAAATATTGCACAGTATATTGCAGTCCCACTATCTGTGACATTCAATCTGTCGCTTGACCAAGGTATGTCGTAGTTAAAATACTGGGAATAATAGTCAAAAAGACCATAATAACATTCGTAGAAACCAACAACTTGTTAAACAGCAAACAACATGGCTCCAAAAAATGTCTTTCTTGCACAACACATTTGCCTATAGCAAGGGAGCAATGGATCAAGGTTCTAGACAATTGAAAATCAGTGGATGTTGTCTACATAGACTTCACAGCCCGGATGAAATGAAAGATGACTTTTACAGAATGCTTTCTGAACTAAACGTTCAGATATAGTACTCGTGGCAGGTGACTCTAATGCCCTAGTGGGTAGTTTAAACTAAACAGAAAGACATTTAGGTGAGTATTTTAGTATCCCGGCTCAGCGAACAGATAATGGTGATCGTCCGCTGCAACTGCGCTCAGACAATCGTTTATTTTTCACTCAGTCAGTCAGTCAGTCAGTAACAACGTAGAACTTCGTACGTACGTACATCAGTTCGAGTTGCCACACCACATTAGCACAGAGATGCACTTGTCGATTCAAATCCCGTAGTGGTAGAGGTAATAAGAGTATAAGCAGTAATCGGGAAGATTAGTGTTTGGAGATGTTATTTAAAGAGTATAATACAGTGAAATAAATTTGGAAAGGAAATGAAAGACATGAAGAATTCAGAAGATTAGAATTTGGGAGAACACAAAGAGTGGATGCATCTGCGCCATTGCAAACGATTTTAAGCGATGTCATTCAACGTCTCTAAACATCGGTTGCCATAATCTCGCGGTCCCGAACCAGGTAGTCTACACCTACCAACATGACTCAGTCCACTTGTCAGTGACTTCATGGACTTGTGCCATGCTTTGGTTTGGCCGCCCTTAGGTTTCTTCCAACCTACTCCTATACCACTGAACATAGCACGTCGAGGCAGTCGGTCGTTGGGCATACGTAACACTTGTCCAAGCCATCTCAACTGATGAAGTTTCACTACGTCATCAATTGATTTGCCATCCTTACCTAGTACCCGTTTCCTAACAACTGCATTACTTACTCGATGGTCCTATGATATACGAGCAATATTTCGAAGACACCTATGATCAAATACTAGTAGCCTACGGATATCCTCTACTCTTACCGGCCATGTTTCACTGCCATAAAGTAGGACGGAACGAACTGCTGCGCAGTAAACACGTCCTTTGGTTGATAGACGGATATTTCGCCTACGCCATAAATGACGCAAGTTGGCAAAAGCTAGTCGAGCCTTCCTTATCTGTGCAGAGATTTCGTCACACACTAAACCACAAGGGCTGATGAGACTTCCAAGATAAGTGGAGCGGTCGACACACTCAACTACTTCACTCCCTATCACTAGTTCGGGTGTCGATGTAACCCAATCCTGAAGCAACATTTTGCATTTCGAGGGAGAATCGCATCCCGAACATGCTTGCATTGTTGCTTAGAGTGGTCAGATCGTTTATTTTTAGCAAACTTCAATCTTTTCTGATTTCTCAATAGTTTTACTATTCTCTGAAGTCGACTTTCCAGTTTAGTTTTAAACATAACTTTCATTTCAGCTTCAGAGACATGCTTCATTCATTTATGAATGGCTTGAATAAGGTATCTGTTCTAATCCACTACGCCCTCGGAATATTGTCATATTGATAAGTCTTGCTACCGATGCGCCTAAACTTTTCCTAACCAGTTCCAATGTGTGATCTCCAGTAGTAATCATCGTAAACGACAGCTATCAAGATCATCTGCCTTAATCTTATTGGACCAGTTATCGTTGTTTACTGCTTATTGTTTGACGTTGGGTAAATGAAAGTAGTGAAACTCATTAGGATATAAGTAAAACATACTAACGGCCTTGAGCTAACCAACCAAAATTACGATGACACCCCATGTGTTCTGCGCGAAATTCAAAGTTTAGTGTAAGATAACTTACACTTTACCGTTAATGGAGTAAATATTGACAATATTTAGTCCTTAAAATGCTTGAAATCAATAAAAAATATCTATTATGCAACAAAATATGAATTTTAGGTGATGATTAAGCCAAATTACGAAAAATTCCTGCTTCCAAAGCAGATTGTATTAAGGTACTTGATATAATTCAATAAGTAGTCAAGAGTGCTTTGTGAAGCTAAGCCGTGTTCTCCCACTCTAACCCATACTTTAAATTTCAACCCTAAGTTTGTGAACAGAAGGGTAATAAAGAGTTGAATCATAACTGATGTAAGTTCGTAATGAAAACTATGAGATTAAAATCGCTCCACATCTTTCTTCCTGTACTATATTCTAATACACAATCTTTCTTTTATTTATTAGCACCATTGAATTAACTACTATGAATTCGGTGTTCATCTTGCTGTGCTAATGAGGTGTGGCAACTTGGACCGATGCATATATGTGCCTGGTCCCACGTTGTAGCTGACTGACAGACTTCAGCAAATCATTTGACAAGGTGTCAACAAACAGACTGCTATTTATGCTGGAAAATATTGGCATTGCCGAACCTTTCCGAAATGGTTTAAGGACTTCCTATTAGGTCATAGACAGAAAGTAAATGTAAATCCGAAGTGCTCCACCTGGAGACCAGTACTCAGTGAAGTAGCCCAAGACTGTCCTTGCTTCTTTACTTTTTATACTGTATGTTAATCATCTCTCAAGTATAGTTGAGTCCAGTCAGTCAGCTACAACGTTGGACCAGGCACATATATGCATCGGTCCAAGTTGCCACACCTCATTAGCACAGCAAGATGAACACCGAATTCATAGTAGTTAATTCAATGGTGCTAATAAATAAAAGAAAGATTGTGT